CGGACGAGCCGTGTTGGTTGGTGACGTTCGTTTCTACGTCGGTGTACCTCTATGAATCGACACGATGCAAAGGCAGGTCGTAGATTAAGCGTAATGGTGCAAAGTATAGAGGTGCACGTCCGTGGATTCTTCTCCGTGGCCTCCGCCTGTGAAGTGCCTCGAGGCGCCGGGGTTCAGCGACACCGATGTACTCTAGCCCGGCTACACGGTGTCATTAGAGTCGCGTGTAACCAGACTTCGTGATCTCGTTTGACGACACTGCAAGTGATTTCACGGAATGGGGCTCTGCGGAAATGCGAAAAAAGACATTTTCCCGCCTTCGTTAACCGTGAAGGCGTACACAGGATACGAGACTTGATTCATGATAATTGTCAAAGTTGCGATAGGAAGCGTAGATAGAACGCTCGAGAGATGTAACGTCTTCAGGATTTATCGCGTTTGAATTCAGCTGAAATAAATTACTGCGATATATCGGGAGTTCGATAGAAAAGTAGTACAAGTATATATATATATTTTTTTTACTAGAGAATGATTATATACGCACTATATTATCTACGCGCTGAACCCTCGCGTATAGTCGATAAATCGATCAAATCGTCAGTTAGAACCTACAAATAAACGGTCATTTCATAGTAAAATCCGATTATTATGAAACACCATATATATATATATATAGGTACTTACATTTCTGTTTTCTGACGTAACAAGAAATTTGTCACGCGAAGCGTTTAGCAATCACAGAAGGAGAGGTCCACGAACAAGGCAGGAAAGTGCGAAACCACATCTTCGCACGGATCGATGTGCTCCTTCAATAATTACACTGCAAATATTTGCGAACGTTTTAGCCAACGAAATACCAAATGAGCTTTTTTTGCCGATATCCTCGAAGCGATTCAGTCCCCGGTTTTTTAGTCCTTCCTGCCTCCACCGACTATACGTGTGTGCGTGTGTGTATGTGTACACCTGCATAATACAAGTTGTGTATTAACTGTTGTTCCATGGGCTGGTAGACGATTCCCGGCAAGATCCCCGGATCCCATGGATTTTTCCTTCCGCGGATCGAAGCAACGATCCGTGAGGCACGATGCAATCTTTTAAAGCATCGAGCAACGATCCATGAGATCCCGGTCGAGGGAGATCTCGGCTTCCGTGAATCCAACCAACGATCCTCCCTGTGATATCGAGCGATCTTTTGCCTGATTAAAAAGGGTAAAGCTTTTGTTTTCTCAAGATCGCGTTATTTGTGGTTGCCTCGGTCGAAACAATGTTGCGCAACCTGCCAGCGATTACGTTAACGGTGATTCATGGTTTCACGCAGAGCAATTGAAATTTGCGGGAAAGTAAACCATCTGGTCTTGTTTTTAACCCTTAAATGCTATACGTTATATAGCTACCTCTCACTCGTAATTTTTTCACCAGAAAGACCTTTATTCTACATAATAATATTTCTTCTAACACAGCGCATACTATTTCGTTTCTGTCGAAATCGAATCTAAAGTGGAATCGAATGGACGCGATATATGCGCCAATACAATAGCGAATCTATTAAAGGAAATCATGATAATGTTACCGCGCGTGAAATTTCACATCAAAATACATTTTTATTTGTACTTTAAAAGCCAATAATACCAAATTAGATATAATTAAATAATTATGATCGAAGATAAATAGTAAAAAAATTATTGCTTGCGATCGCTACGAATGACAGCTTCAGAACAGAATTCTCATCAGATAAAATCTCAACCTCTAAGGCTTAATCGAACTGCAAATTAAAAAAAAGAAAAGAAAGAACCAAGAGTACAACGTATCGCTTTATCTTTCAAGTAGAATCTCTCGATCTCAGATACACCTTAGAAGCACACCTTGTACTTTATACGATAGGGAGCTCGAGTTCGCCGGGGAATAGTGTGGGTAACGGGTTCGTGGGGGCACACGTTCATTTCGTATTCTTTTCGACGATGCGTCATCCGCCTGGCCAACTGAGGATAAACTTCGACGCCAGACCAGGGAGAGGCGATCGGTTGCTCGATCAAATTTCAAAAGCTCGGCCGTCCGCCACGCAAACCACTTTGTAATTAGTCTCCCTTTGAACATCTTGTACATTTTTACGGACACGCTCACGGCACCCCGTGATGACGAGAATGAATGCTGACACTGTTCCTGGAGTCAACTTCTTCCGTAATAAATACCTGCCCCTTTGAGATCTCTCTTCGCTCCGGTTAAACAGCTCGGCTACTCCTCTCTTGGTAGCAACTAAACGCTCTTTTTTCCTCTTCTTTTTTACTTCCTATAAATAACATCCTTCGTTTAAAATAAATTATCCTGTAATCCTAGTATGGACTAACTATGCAATGTTTTCTTTCCTATGGATTTCCTCGATTTAACGTTCGATTATCGGTTCTTTTAGCGAAACGAACGTTAATGCACGATAATGGATAATCTTGGTTACAAAAAAATCTACGTTACTCTGTGGTATTCCGATTTCATGGAAATACCTGTCCTACAGGTTGCCTCGACATGTTCATCCCCCCGTAAAGGTTGAACGTAAGAAGGAAGGAAGTTCGATTAAAATACCGACCAATATCATCGGTGATCGATGATAATTGACCAATTTGCAAACGAGCCAGGCACGTGTCGCCAACCGACGTGAATGATCCCCTATTCCATTGAATCATGCGTTACATCACAATGCAATCGCCACACGCTTCGCCGACGACACTCCATAACGCACCGCGCTTTTCCGTCGAGCAACAGGAATTCCTAGATCGGCCGGAGGTCACGATAATCGACGCGTTTACCTCTTTCGCGATCGAACGCCGCGTAAAAGTATCCAGGCTGATTTATAGCGCATAATTCGCGCCGCGACGGATTGAAATAGCCAATCCTGCTGCTGATTTTCTTAATGAAAGGTACGATTAACAGCACCGCTCATAATTTTCGTTCCTTTGTTCTCGTAACTCGTTATATCTCTGCAAATCATTTACTTGGCTTTATTAAATATCAAGAATATGTTAATAATGTGATGTAATGTTGACTCCTGATCGAGGGTATTTCCATGACAGTGGTTTTTTTTTTTGGGACAACGATTCTCTCACGGATCTCTTGTTAATATTGCCAATATTATTGCAAAGATGTTTAGTAATATCTATAATTCGTAACTGGTGACTTGCAAAATTTCTCCAATAATATTGATTCAATAATGCAAGATCATCCAGATGTTTAGTTCGTTAAAACGCGTCCACCGTAGCCATAAGTTTAAGCATTAAACGAATACTAAAACTAGAACATCGCGTCACGCGATTTTAAACATAATTAAAGAGACTTTTTCATCCGTTGCAAGTTTTAATAAACGTGGTCGTGGCGTTTTCTTCACGCCAACGTCGTCGTACAGATGAAACACGAAGCCCGTTTAAGATCCCTCGAGCAAACGCATCGCTTCTGTCGGCATTGAAATCATCGAAGTTAATCATCGTCGGAGGCGAACGGCCGGTAAGG